GTCCATGAGATTCCCATCCTATAAGTGCATTTTGCGCTTGTTTGGACAGCATCAATGCAACTCCTTGTGTATGTGGTGCATTTTCTTCTTCATGGCCGGAGTATAACAGGAGCTCTCCTGTAGTTAGTCGTTGTTGTCCAACTTGTGTCCAATGTGTTTCACTGATCCCAAGTACCTCTAGGTTGTATCTTCTCATTTCTGCAGCAATTTGGAAGGCTCTTCCGGTGTCCCACATTGTACGAACATTCCATGTACCTAAATAAATGGTTGCTCTGGTTGTCAGAAGGGGCATCGGCCTCGTAACTTCCGAAGGAATTCGGCTTTCATCATGAGGCGTCATAATTCTTCTAAATGAAGACCTTCTGACTCCCAGGGCAGAGTTTAAAAGGTTTGAATAATTTTTTCTGGTTAGCGTTTTTTTAGCGAGTTAGTTTTCTACGGGATGGGGACGCTAACCCCATGCCCAACCCTCCTCCTTTATCCGGGCTTGGGACCGGCAGTAGCCCCCGGAGGGACTCCAGGCGGAGTTATATATATATATATATATATATATATATATACAATTTAATATGTTTTAAAGAAGCCTAATTCGTACAATAAGGTCATCAAACAGTTCTCATTAACATTTTATACACCACACTTATATATACCACCAAATTAACACATTAAAAATTCATATGACTTTTTAAATTTCAATTAAACTTTTCAAGTCAGTTATACATCACTGTGTAAATAATGAATCACTTGTATATATGTGTATAAATTGTTATTTACGCATGAGTGAGAAGAGAGAAATGAAGTGACCATACATTTTCATCACCATACTTAATAGTAATAATAATAATGTATTCGTAATTTACATAGTTTAGACATTAAGCTTACCAAATGATAATGACTTCAGTTTGAGTATTTTTGATCATCTATGCTAAACAAATATAAATAAGATGGTAGTTTGAGATAGTCAACAGGAAACCTTGGACCCGGATCTCGTGCTATTTGGCACTCAACAACAAGTTGTATTTGTAATATTGAGGGAACTGGTGCACCCTGACAGATTCGACCTCGTATCAACCAGCTTCACAGTCAGAGATGTTACTACTGGGTTGTCCCCATCTTATCTCAACCTAGTGCACGCAATGTCGAGTCACCTAGACTAGTGACCACTTTGCAACTTGGTCGATAGCATTCGATCTACACTAAGAAGGACCTGACACATATAACACTGATCACCACCTAGTGATCAATCAGTTGTGAACAAATATAAATATAATCACAGGAGGAAGTCATAATTCCAGTTTTTTTGTTGAAATCATTTAATCTATTTACGTGAAAAGAAATCAGAATTATTATATTTATACGAAGGAATAAAAGAAAGACGCTAAGGCAGCTTGATGCTAATACCTTGAAAAGCAGTAGACAAAGATGCACGATAACACTTCGAATGAAAAGTTCACTTCCTCAAGGTAATAGGCATGCATGATAAATGATGAAAGTTTACAAAAACACCTAGTGTTTTGTATATGTGTAATCTGTGATGAGCTAGCATTCACCCAGATGCATTGTGATAACTGTAGATGAATTCGACTGAGAAAACGATCGAGGATTCTATCATAGACTTATTTTTAATCTTTATTTGCGGCAAGTTAGTTATAAATAATGCAGATCCTAGCATATGTATGTATCAAACCGAGTTAATACAACTGAATGAAAAGAAATTATCGAGATGAATAGCAAAATGCTGGTAACAGAGATCGTACAAAAGATTAGGCATACAGAACAGTTCGAGAAATAAAACATATAAAATAATTTGGAAACTTAGGGTCTAAGAGATGAGATAAAGAGTGAATGTATCTGATCGACTGTGGCTGAAATATAATAATTCGATATTGATGAAGTTTGGATTATATTACAACAATTCCTGCTCAGGTAGTAATGTGAATTTAACAATTTATTACAAAAGGAGATATGTAGTGTCATTCTTTTAATCGAATATCAACAAAATCCTATTCATTCTTCATTGTGAAGTCATTTTTTCGTCTGTTAGAACTTCATCAATGTGAAGTATAAAGGCAACTGAATAATGGAAACCACTCATAAGCCATCGAATTTGTACCCTCATTTCTCCATTATGTATGATAAATTTTGGTAGTTCAGCTTAATACTTTTTAACATTTGATATTCTATACACAAAAAGTAGTGTAGCACAATATATGAAAGCGTTTCAATGATTTTTTGTGCAATAAGCAACCTTAAAATAACGATGACGAATTTTCAACCAGTTCATTATTAGACTCATCGGAAGATAGCTCTCTTTTAGATGGATAGCTTATGGAAAATAAAACAGTAATATCACACAGATAAATGATGAACCTGTTCAAGTCTTCTACAGGTTACTCTGTTAGTAAATCAGAAAAATATCGATATATAGATTCGTCTATAGAAATATGGAATACTTGTCTTATCGAATCCTCATAAGGAAGCAGATAGATTTTTAACTTTCCAACTTGTTCTTGTTGAGAGTTTTCACCAAGAAAAGCCATTAATTATATGGAAAATGCTCTGTATCTATGAGGATGAAAGAATTTCGAGAAGTATAGTGACACTGCATAAGTGTTTCAGGATTAAGGGTCTAGGATTAACAGTGTTAATTCACTTGTGCTATGAAATTTACATAAAAATAATTGAGTATCTGATCAGTTTACTATTATCATCCTCACGTTATGCTGTATCTCCAGTCTTAATGTCAGGTACCTGAAATCGGTAACTACAACAAGTCCCACGAAGCAAAGTAAGAACGCTATAGACTGATATAATGAAGATTTAATGACCCTTCAAAAATAAACAAGGTTACTGTTGTAATTGTGAATATCTGGCTACTTCATTAAAACAAAACCACGAACCAGATGACGCAAGTAAGAACATGAAAACATTGCATGAGGACTTACTTGACACCTAGAATAAATCAAAATGTGTTGTGACCGGGAGTATCCAAAATCTGATAGTGATACACGGTGTGATACGCACTAACGCACAAACTGACTACTTGGACGAGAATACAAGACTGAGAGAGGAAGTGTGTTGGACGACCGAATAAAATGTACAAATACTCATTCACATATCCCACTACTCTAATCCTTAGGAAACCGACCCATTTCCTAGCCAATGAAATGTACTTGTTTATTAGGTCACTTTTGATTGGCGTCGATTGACATTTCTATTAGGCTATTTCTAATTGGTTCTCTAAATCAAAATGAATATCCGAATACACTAAATTTAGGATGGTTTGTATATATACATTTTCGCATCCGGGAGTCAAATCCAAGATCTTCGAATGTGGATATGAATTGCTGAGCAGTTGCATACTACGGCCGTTCAGTACTTTCAAGTTTTCAACGGTAGCCTAACCAAGATCAGTTCATGATTTAAAATATATATAAAAAAATGTGAGTTTAACGACAGACACACGATCTCCATCGCTTTGAGTGATTCCATCACTGATGAACTTTAAATGGAGAGCCAATGAAAGTTATCCTTAAAAATATTAAAAAATGCAAACATTTAAATAAAATTCTTTACTTACTTCCGCCTGTTACTCCTAATGGAGCATAGGCCGCCGGCCAACATTCTCCAACCCACTCTGTCCTAAGCCTTCCTTTCCAGTTCTATCCAATTGTTGTTCATTCTTCTCATGCCTGTTTCCATTTTCCCGGCGTAATGTGTTCTTTGGTCTTCCTCTTTTCCTTTGGCCTTCAGGATTCCATATGAGAATTATCTTGTGACTCAGTTGGGTGCTTTCCTCAATGTACGTTGTATCCACTTCCAGAGCTTCTCCCTCGGCTGGGATCTGGTTTGTTCTCTCCCATAGTTGGTTGTTGCCGATAGTGTCTGGCCAACGGATCCGAAGCATTTTGCGTAGACAACCGTTAATAAACACCTGTATCTTCTGGATGATGGCGTTCGTAGTTCTCCAGGTTTCCGCCCCATACAGTAGAACTGTGTTGACATTTGTATTGAAAATTCTGACTTTGGTGTTGATTGACAGACAGTTGTTTTGAGTTCGAGATGTCCTTCATTTGTAGATATGCTGATCTTGCTTTGCCGATCCACACCTTCACATCTGCATCAGATCCACCGTGTTCATCAATGACTTAAATAAAATTCACTACCATATTTATACCATAACATTAAAACTTTCATATTATGTAACGAGAATATATTTGATCAGTATTATACGAAATAAGTTAGGAAGACTATAATTTATCTAGATTGTTTTTTGTTAATAAGCGACAGTTTTGATAATGGTAATCTTCTTTATATTCCATAACTGAAACTTCTTTCTTATTTCATTGACTATTCTCGCTATTTTTGTCATCGTAATACTTTTTTACCTAAAGGTCATATATGTTACCAGAGCTGTCCTATTATAATTTTGACTTCTGTTAAGAATGTTACAGATCACCGAAAATTTCTGTCAGTTTGATCACTGATTCGTATATGAATGATTAATGTTCGAGTGTAATGAATTAGTCCTCTGATCGATTTAGTTCGTATAGATCATGTTTTGTATTTTAAGTAAACACCAAGCAAACTCATAATTCGAAATTACTTAAAGTTACATAAACACAACGACACCTGCATTAAGCATTCAGTATGCCAGCTACAACGTAGGATAAGGCACATATATGTATCGGTCCAAGTTACCGTAACTCATTAGCACAACAAGATGAACACCGGATTCATAGTTAATTCGATGGTGGTAATATATAAAAGAAAGATTGCATATAAGAACATAGTATAGGAAGAAAGAATTAGTTCGTAGAAAGATTTTAATCTCATAGTTTAAGGGAAGAAAGAAAATATATACACCGACGCCATTGTGATCGATTTTGAGCTATGTCACCAAGAGTCTCCAAACCATTGGTTACGATAGTCACGTAGACCCCAACCAAGTCGTCTGCATCTAACAACATGGCTAAGACTAGAAGTTAGTGACTTTGTGAACTGATGCCACATTTAGGTTTGACCGCCCCTAACTTTCTTCCAACCACTCCCAACACCAGTTAGCATTGCTTGTCGTGGTAATCAATGTTCAGGCATATGTAACACATGGCCCAACCATATTAGTCGATGAAGATTTAAAACCTCATCAACTGATTTACCATTATTTCCTAATACCCTGCGTCTAATCTCACTATTACTTATCCGGTGATCCCAGCAGATGAGAGCAATATTTCTAAGGCATCTGTAGTCAAATACAAAACAGTTAACAGGTAAAATGAAAGTGTGCAAAATTCTTCAAGTACCCAACAATATATGTATATATATATATTTTTCTTTTGAATAAGAAAATGATTGTATAAATATTTAGAGTGTTATTGTTGTTCCATACACCAAAACAACTATAATTATTTATTATATTTGTGATTAAGCAATTAATTATTGATTAATTAATTAATTGATGTAATCACTGGTAATAAGTAAAGTTGATTGATGTTTTCGAAATTAATTATGTTAAATAATAATAATAATAATAATAATACTAACGAGGAAAAACAACAACAACAACAACAAACAGAAAATCAACAATGAACAATTAAAAAAAAAGAAGTTAACGATCAAGACAACATCAACAAAGAAGTAACATAAAGATAGATATGATTTGAAAGTTGTCAACAGTAAGTAAGTAAGTAGTATAAGAATAATGATAATAGTAAAAAAGACAAAATATGGAATGATAACGAGTCTGAAAGGAAATATAAGTATGCGAATATATACGTGTTTAACGAATAGAACAGAACAAGAATACATTCGGGATGGTATGAGTAAAGAATATTGATTATAAGAATAATCATGATACTTAGAAATGAAAACAATTGGGTATTTGTTGTATAAAGATATAGATGTATGTGTGCATGTGTAGATGAATAACAAACATTATTATGCATTGGAACCATCACATACTGTATAAATGTGTTTTTCTTGATGGGAAGATAGGTGGAAGAATTATAAAATTTGGTCAAAATGATATTGCTACTAATATTATTATTAATATTACAATAATACTATTGTTATTACTATTAACGTAATTGATAATGTGTACTCTTTGAAATATCAACCGTATACACATTTTACCACCTTACACTATAATCATCCTCAACATGCTTATTCTCCTCTTCCACAACAACAGGTATTTGGGAAAAAACATGAAAACAACTTGAATGACAAGAAGAATTCCATGGATAAATAGAATTACACGATATTGTTAAAGAAAGACAAGCAACAACAACAAAGAAGACGATGATAATATGAAAGAGCAAAACAATCATAATAGTGGAGAAGAGCAAAGATGATAGTAAGTAGGAAACTTTTGTAACTTAGAGAAAAAGAGTCATGAATAAAAAGAAAGAGAAAATGAGAATGTGTCGGTAACTAAGATCATTTCCAAGAGTAAATAAATTAATAAACATTTATAAATCTTCTAGATTTCTAAAACCAGATGATATCTCTTCATATAATTCATCATAGTCTCGTAGTATTTTATCCTATAATAGGAGAATTTGTAAAATAATAAATGTGTTTTATCAATAGTATGAAATATAAGTAGTCTGTTTTGTTAATAATGAATATTACAAATTTACACTGGATAGGATGATGTTACATTTGAATGAAGACTAAAAGAATAATAAATATATATATTCTTTTCATCATCAGCTTTCGACTTGCCCATGAACTACTGTTATACAATTAACTATTCTTAATCTGCTGTGAGTTTATTGTTCACAGTCTTCACTACTGGCAGCCACTTTCTGGCTTGATCATATATAATTGTTTATTTTTTCATCTTATAGCGTAATATGGTCGGGTATGTCTGTATGTAAGCTACATATGCTTCAAATAAAATATTCATATAGTGAAGGTAGAAAGAGAAGCTACTGAATTGAAGACCAATAAAGACATAGCAGTGACTCAATAATACTAGTGCTAATTGGTATGTCTCAAGTTAGCTCAGGGATAACGTCATAGAAGCCAATATTTTAGTTGGTGGTTTTGTCACATGATATTAGTAAACGGCAGTAATTTAGAACATATACATATTGCGAAAATAATGAAACTACATAACAAAGTAAGCTTTAACATAGAACTCTTCAGAGGTAGACCAAAAAACATATTGCACTGGGAACTAGGGGCAGACGTAAAAAGAATGAATAGTATTTGAAAACTGGAAAGGATAGGAAAGTGTAGGTCGGAGATTGCTAATCAGTGGCTTATGCTCCACGAGGGTGTAAATAATATATATATATATATATATATATATATATATATATATATATGCTTCTTTACTCATTCCCTCTGTACACTTACAAGAGAGAGTAGTCTAATTATATCTAGATGGTTGATTGACAGAGATCCAGGAAAAAGAACGTTACATTCTAGTTTATTCAATTAGATACCAATTACATCTAGTGATCATTAGTTAACAAGTTTGTCGAAGTCAACTGTCAATTGTTGCTATGGCAGGTTTGTGGAGATTGCCTAATGCCCACAGATAAAATCATTCCATTTGATCCTAGTTAGACTACTATTAAAAACCAGAATGCCTGATTAGTCGTCTAGAAGTGAAGAGGTCCTCGCGTGGCCTAAAATTCCTGGTTTCATTCCTCGTGAGGTGGTGGTGAATGGTGACTGCTGAATAGTTCCACAACTAGATGTCATTTATAGATAAAACATTTAGTAATCACACTATTTCGGTCATTCATAAAAATTGAGATTTCTTTCAGCAACAACGACTACAAAAAATAAAAAACTTTCCACTTGAAGTTGTTTACCTTTCCATCAGCTGTAGGATCTTTAAATTTCATACTAGAAATTTTATAAATTGTTTGACCCATAGCTTCACGTATCAATGCCCATGTAACACGACGATCAGATTGAGCAGTTACTTCAACAGCATGTCTAGCTTGATCATAGAAAGCAATAATATTTTTCATCATGCCAACAGTTTTATAAAATGGACAAAATCTAAATGAAAAGAAAATATAGAATGATAAGTGTATTATTCCTTTATTTTTATTTTTTTTTGAGAGAGAACAGTAAAGTTTGTATTGAATAATAATAATAATATTCTTGGTATTTATAGATTTATGTTGATGGTGAAATGTCGTATGTAAAATATTCAAAGTGTAATGAACGAAGACTTCGGTAGGGTAAACCAACTTATAATCTTTATACAGTCACACAGTGCATTTGTAAAATATGAAAACGATACGCTGAACAGATCATTTGCACAAATTCCTTGAATTATCTCTTATAAACTCCACTTGGACTGCTTTTTTCCTTACTCTTCTCCTCATGTTCTTCTTCTGTCAGTAAGAATCTTACTTTCAATTCTTGATACATACTACTTATATCTGTCCGTATAGGTAGTACATACAACAAAAGTAGTGTAATACTAAAGTGAATTTTATGATTTGATGTTGGATGGTCAAAAACAGTCGATAGGAATTTCCGGTCTTCAATCTTGAGTAGTTTAGTACTTGTCACTAAAGTGTGTATATAGAGTGTTGAGGGAGATATATTGCGCAGGACGTCAACCGATATTTAGTGTCATGAAATATTAAAATTTTACACGTACTAAGCAAAATCTATTCACTTATATAATGAGTATGTAATGAACGATGGCTCGATGCACAAATTTTACAGATTATTAACAAAAGTCGCCAGCTTCATATTGACATACGTCATAAGTTAGTAGATTTTTTTTACCGACAAAAGTAGGGATGATTTATATAGGATCCCAATCAGTCATAGTTAACGTAGAGTTTGGCACATATGTATAACCATCCATGCCAATATACCGAATTAGCTCAACATGATGAAATTACCAGGATGAATAGCAAAGGATCCGCTATAACACAGAACAATTTAAATGTTTGGTTATCCACCACAGGTAATAGAAGAAATCCATGCAATATAAATTCAATGAAGTGAAACAAGTACCCCATTAAATGCCAGCTGAATGGTCTAGAGGTTAAGCGCTCGCCATAAGACTGAAGATCCTAGATCTAATCCACAGTAGAACCTTGGATGAGTATTTCTGAATAGTCCCCATACTAGAACGAAACGGCTGTTTATTGCTTACTAGTTGGCTAACTAAAACTAATGGATGATGTAATCTAAGAAAACCCAGTAATCCCCCTTGAAAATCCGTACTAATTCAAGTATTTATCATATCAAGTGAAATTGAACTATACAAATAATACGGTAATACACTACGCTTGTATATTTTGTATAAATTATACATAAAAAAGCAGTTACTACTGATTTACCTATCATACGATGAATAACCATTCTGTTGAAGGAAATCATCTTTAATGATACGCGCAACTTCTAGTGTAATTTTATCTGCTTCTGCTAGAGATGCCTGTGAAAATGTGATCAACGAAATGTGTAATTAATAATAATTTGATAAATAAACGACTGAAAAGAAAAAAAAACCCTAGAAAATTAAATATTCTTTGTGAATATAGAGCTTGATATCTAAGTATAAGAGGAAGTGAAGTAACTCATCTGTTAAGTACAGGCTAAAGTACTCCATTCGAGGTAGATTACAAGTGTGAAGAATAGTGAATTCTATCTGAATACCGAAATCCAGTAGATGAAGCAGGATTTTAACCGATGACTGATTGACTAAAAAGCAATACAAGTACGACTACCGATAAGTTATATTGAAAAACCTTGGATTCACTTTTATTGAACGTATAGACTAAGGTTGACTGTGACTGCCTGATAGACTTCAAACAGGATCAAAACAGTTCTAGCTTTCCAATACCTCATGGTTTTTAATGACACTGTATCTGATGTGATTTTGTAAGGAAAGTAGATATAAAGTAGCAAAAACTTTAATTAATACTAAGTTAGTGATTAATTTTGATCATGGATAAATCTATATACTAGTTGAAATCATGAGTCAATTGAAGCTAGACCAGCATGGAAAAACTGGAAGCACTCCACGGCCGTTCCGTCCCAGTGTGGGACTCTCCAGCAGTGCGCACCCACGATCCCCCCGCACGATTCGAACCCAGGGCCTATCAGTCTCGCGCGCGAGCGCTTAACCATTAGACCACTGATTCCGTGTCACCCAGCTTCACAGTCAGAGACGTTACCACTGGGCTATCCGGGCCGCGACCGGCCTTCGATCTGCACTAAGAAGGACTTGACACACATGACATTGATCGCCACCCAGTGATCGATCGATTGTGAATGTCAGCTTATCTTCCACAAATGGATAAATAGATGAGTCTCTGAATAATGAATGGAAACTTAATGTATATAATTTTAATTAAGAAAAATATTAATCATTAACTAAACAGCTGATACAATTCATGTATTCAGTGCAAATTTATGTAGTCGAGTTTCTCGCAAAAAAAATTTCGTATATAAACCCAGTTGGTACATGTTGAAGAAGTTATGATGGAGCAAAACCTACTCGGTTGAAAGCTAAGCAAACTTTCACCACTAATCTATAAAACTGTATAAAGTTTATTCCAATAAATAAAAACTCCGCCTGTAGCTTTTCTAGGGTTACTACTGCCGGTCCCAAGCCCGAGTAAAGGAGGAGGGTTGGGTATGGGGTCAGCAACCTCATCCCGTAGAATAAACGATAATAATCCATTCAACACGTTATTTTTACTCGATCCTTGTTAACTTACTTTGCCAACTAATTGTACAATTTCAGATAATTCTTCTTCTTCTTGTAAAATTTCTTGCATTTTAGTTCTTAATGCAACGAATTCTGGGAAATTTCGATCAAAATAATCATCCAGTACACGTAAGTATTTTGAATAGGATATAAGCCAATTAACACTAGGAAAGTGTTTACGTTGAGCCAGTTTCTTATCTAATCCCCAAAATACCTAAGAAGAAGAAATAATTAGCAAAAGTAACGTAATGTTAGTGTAAGGAGTTTGTTAGACTTCAAGGGTTGTATCATAAACTGGTTATAATTATTAATAAATATGCTATTTGTGATATCCCAATGAGTAGAAAATTATATTTCTGATGTTTCATGACTTGATGTGAGCTACTTCTTCAGAGTAAATAAATAACCGAAACAAAATTTACACAAGTTTTATTAGTACAATGGAAACAACGCAGAATATTTTTAGTACAATCAAGATCATAATAGGTTTGAATATGTCACTGTCAAGTTATTTTTGGTCAAGATGAACTTGTGTGACCTACCAATGTATTAATTTGTGCGTCAGAAGGTGGATATGAAAAATGTATGCATCTGTAATATGAATTAGTGAGATTGATATTGTGTGTGTGTATGTGTAGATTGCGTGGAAAATAAATGGGGTCAAATGTGGCTGTTTTGATAAACAGTCCAGGCTGGATGAATATTTAAGCCTCCTTTTCTATTGGTTATAGTTAGGCAACTGTTAAAATCAGGAAGCATTGAATAGCTGTTTCGTCAGTGTGGGACTTTTCAGAAGAGGATAATCCTTGAACACATCGTGGATAGAAACCAGTGACTCTATGAGTTGATTGTATTCATCATTTTGAGACATTTTCCAAATCTAATTCGAAATCAGTATTGTAAGTAAACCATGTTCAGAGATTTCAGCTTAAAAAAATTGCCCACAAACGTGATGACTTCAAAGAATGCTGAAAAATTTCGTATGATAAAACGACTTTAACATACTGTTTCTCTTTTTTTGGACTGATACATGTAAAAATGAAAATTTGCTGATGCAGTATATATGATGTATTTAGTTGTGTTTGTGCATAACGGTAACAACTAATTGGAAACTCGCTAAAAGATTCGGTGTACAACGGATAGATCGGAAATTTGAAACATACCTCATTTACGTCCGGTTAATATTACTAATCCTCACATATAAACAAAATATGTGACTCACAGGTAAGTGTGCACAAATCCATATACTTAATAAATGAGTAATTAAACTAAAAAAGTTTAAACGAACTTAATGCTGAGGTTAGATGCAGAGATACTACGTAAAGATAGTAAACCAATTACTGAGGTAGTGAATCCTAATCGATTGAAGTGGTTGGGACATACATTAGGTATTCATTACGTTTTCTGTTATAGGATTACGTTAGAGGAAACTTAAAGATAACCGATAACAACAAGGCACAATGTTAGCTCATGAAATCAGTGATTATTGGATTGAGTTGTTTAAGGAAGGTGTATATCACCTGGTTGGAATCCGCGAGATTATCATAACCTGTAGTTGGAAACATTTTTTGTCTTAAGATACACATACTTTTATTCTGTAGAAGTCATTCATTCTTCTCAAACCATACGACCATTTATGTTTAACTTTCCTTACAACTACTGATATTATAACTATTTCTACTATACTGGGATTTGTCTTGTTAATTTCATTTTATTATGTTAAAATTGATATTGACAACGTGAATCGATATGCACATATATGAGCCCCCAAATGCCCTAGTACGGCCGACAGTGACGAATGTTAGCTCTCCTCGCGAAATGCTCTCACATGGTCACGTGCATACAACCACTGACAGGGAAGCCCTCTACTCACTGCCTTCTCGTGGCATTACTGCTGTTCACGAAGTTGAGAGAACGAAAAGTGAATGTCCGGCGCTTTAACCCGGTTAGTATATGCGGAGGGTCCACCTAGGGGAGTTGGAAAACCCTGATTCCAAACCAATGATGCATATGGGCTCCAGTATCCTAAGGGAACAAATGACGTATGAACCAATCGTTGTTCACCGGCTACTATGCGACTGCATCTCCTAACGTCGCTCCACTACCTTATGGACTAGACATTTAGGTAGAAGGCTGCATGTGTGGCCCTCTAAGAAAACCACATGCTTCCGTCTGAGCACCCTGAAAGTATCCCAGCCCTCACACAAATCGCACGATTTATGTGGCTCATTTCTGTTTGGTACCACCTTGTACCAAAGTTTATATGTTTAAACAACTAAATAATATATGAGCCAAATTCTCTACAATGACTGACTAAAATCATCCAATTGATAAGATTTTTACTATTCAGTTTTTTAAAAGAAATTGATATCAAACCAACTATTCCTTGTAAGCTATGAAGATAAAACAAAAACGATGGAACAAAGGTTGTTCATGAAAATAAAGTATCAATCATACTATCAAAATGATTGTGTTTACTATAATAATGCATCCAATATACTATTATTACCATTATCATTATCATTATAAGTAAACAGTAATAAAATATATTGATCATATCCGTAGTAAAGTTTAAAGGTCAACTACAATGTACAGAGTATACACAGTTAATAAACATAATTCAAATTAGTTTAATTGTGTAAATTACATTCTATTGAATGTGATATGCATTATGATTCATTTAATAGTAAACGTGGTTAACACTATTTTCTTCTCTTTTGAATAGGTGTATTAGTGTTTAAAGTAAATAGATATGACAATGTCTAATTGATAATTCATTTATAATTAATTTAGTTAATTATTAAATCACAAGCAAATCTTTATTATCATCAGAATAGGGGTTTGTGGAGATTGTAGTAATTTTTAATCAATGAATTCATGAGTCGATTTAAGCTAGACCACCACTGAAAACCTGGAAACATTAGACTGCCATTTCGTCCCAGTATGAGACTCCTCAACAGTGCGCATCCACGATCTAGCACGCGAGGCCAAAAGTCTTAGGTTCGAGTCCCGTATGCAGGGTCGTGGATACACATTGTTGAAGAGTCCCACACTAGGACGAAATGGCCGTCTAGTGCTTTCAGATTTTCAATAGTGGTCCAGTTTGAATCGACTCATGAATTCAACCATTAAAAATCTCTATGAGATCAAAGTAATATAATTTATAACAATGGTAAAACGAATATTGAAGGGAATAGATAAGGAAAACCAACCGATGAATGTATTTTTTTTGGGGAACCAATTTCCAGTCATATTACACTTAAGGTCTTCAGATACATAGATAGTGATTAACTAACGAGCAATAAACACGAACTATTTACATTTTGAAACAGTTTAGACAAACAATTAGTAAAGTAACAGAATAATGTTGTATTGGCTTGGCTATCATTAGCTTTTTCACGACCTATCCTTATTCGGGTTAACCATATACGTAGAAGTATGTGTAAAATGTGCGCCAAACACCTTATTTGATCAAGGTTTACAAATACATAAACCGGTTCACCATTTACATATTAAACATAAAATCTATCCCTAACATTACATACTCCATTTTGTGTTAGCGGCGCTATAAAGGCATTTATGACCAACCATTCGAAATCTGCACACACAGGCAGCCTTCATCATCCATGATTCCCAACCGTAAAGTAATACAAACCAAAATGTCGTAATGTACACTTGCTTTTTATCTAGTACAAAGATATTTCACATATGAAACAATTTGGGTATTACGGCGAAAATCAACCAAATTTGTTGTATCTAGCCTAGGAATGCATCAACCATCAATTCATCAGAGCTCATGAAATTCCATAAATAATTGTTCATTAGGTAATATGCTTATTAATGGCTACTTCTTCTATAACCATATTCAGCACGTGATGTAAACACTGTCCACAAAGATCCCATTCAAATAAGTAATTTTTCATAAAACAAAACACACGGATATATTTACAAACCTGTACAATACTTAATGTGGCTGATGTGACAGGATCAGCAAAATCACCACCAGGTGGAGATACAGCACCAACAATACCAACTGATCCATAACGTAAATCTGGGCCACCAAGACAATGTACACGACCAGCACGTTCATAAAAGCTAAATATCAAATAAATAAATTTTCTTTTAATGATGATAATTTTAATATATCAGAATTGCCTAATCGACTAATGTTATTTTACACACAAAGGAAACCAGCTTCAAAGATTTTAGTTGCGACGTTGTTAGTAGCTAATTTGTGATTTTGTATAATGAAGCACCAATCGAATTGAACCTGTAGTCGGGTGGAATACCTTATTTGACAACGAAAACAAAAACTGAACCAAGATCTGAGGATACAGAATACCTAAATTCAGATGGAGTTTACTTTAAGTATCTGTCATAAGCTGTATGATAATTCGATAAGACTTATAACAAAATAATTAAGTACCTAGATTTATTTCTTTTTAATATTTATAGTTCACAGTAAAACATAAAACTACCAGATTATTCAGATCAAAGTAAGTGGAACGAGGTTTGAAACTGAGACTAGGTAGCTGAAATTCGAATGTTTTAATCAATAAATCATAGATATTTTGCAAAGAAGAATTTCAAGTACAAATAATGGAATAATATAAAGTTTTAATTTAACATTCAATTAAAATGTAACGATACAAAAGAAGAAAACAACATTTTAACAGTCTACATCAGTTATGTATCTTCAATTGGGAAAGTTCTCTACCAGTTCAGATGTCACAGATATTATTTCCATACATTATACATAAGATGCATGGATTCCAATATATTCATTTCTTGTTTTTTTTTTAAAGAATAGACAAAGAGGAAAATTTTTTAAATCTAATAATAGCGCATGAGTATATATAGTTAGCATACTGTTAGATTAACTAAGAACTTAGCTTAAACCTGAAAACCGGATGAAACCCCATCTGGGTGGTCTTGATCACTGATCGTCCCAGTCTATAAGTAAAGACAAAAGTCTCATGACAATCACAGAAGGATCATTTTGACTAACAGTGTCTAAAATATTAACCTCAATAATACTTCGACGTCTCATTAGAGTTTGTGACGAATATATCTGAGAAAGGAAGGCTGTTTTCAGACCTAGATAAGGACATATAAACCAAATATTCACCATTCGGATTCAAAAAGCCTGTTTAGTTTGCGCTAACTTGTGTCACTTATGGGGTAGACGAGATATTCGTCTGTCAAACGAAGGACGAGTTTTATTATTCAGCAGTTCGTACCTTTCTACTTTATGAATATGAAACATAGAGGAAGTTTATACGTTCCTCGTATTCGATCATAAGTGTCTTCGAAGCATCGCTAATGTATTTTGGGTCCACCGAGTAAGCAATACCTGGGACATGTGTTATGTTGCCGAGATGCCGCCTACCTCGACGAGCGATATTATCTGGTACAGGAGTAGGCTGAAAGAAAACTAGGGGAGGTCAAAAAAGATATGGTGCTAATTCATGTAGTCACTAAGAACTGGACTGATCCATGTTAATAGGTACAAACTCCTCGATTGAGGTCCGTCTGACTATTATAACTAGTGATTTGGAACTGAATGACATGGCTCAAAATAGTTTACAATACCGCAAGTTTATTCACTATTTGTCTCCTCATCAAATAAGAAGCTTTTGAATTTCTCATAAATTCTTTTTTATTATTTTAATGATTTATATTTTCTCTGTATTGTATTTTTGGATGCTTAATCTTTTCAATTACCATTGATACTGTTACTACCTCTACTATTCTAGGATTCGACCTGACAATTTCACCTCGCTGTGATAATGGAGTACGGCAACTTGAACCGATGTAGATGTACTCCAGATTCTATGTCGCAACTGACGGACTGACTGGAAGTTAGCATTCATCATCATCCGGTTCAGACAAAATCTAACACAAGAATGTTAATCGTAATACTCAGATGTCTGAAAAGAAATGACTTGAATGATTGACCAAACGAGACAACCTTATTATTTATATACAAACATAACATGGATTATAAGAAATTCTAGAAAAAGGAAATTATCATAAGTAAAGAATTGTATGAACAATCAAGGAGTGAAATGAGGGAAAAATAATTTCACAAACCTTGCAAGTCGTGCACCTAAATAAGCTGGATAACCGGAATCTGCAGGCATTTCAGCTAATCGACCAGAGATTTCACGTAATGCTTCAGCCCAACGACTAGTTGAATCAGCCATCATACTAACATTATAACCCATATCACGAAAATATTCTGACAATGTAATCCCTGTATAAATTGATGCTTCACGAGCAGCTACAGGCATATTAGATGTATTTGCTACAAGAGCTGTACGTTGCATAATTGATTCTTGCTTTCCATTAACTTCAATTGTTAACTACAAAAAATTGATACACATAAACAAGGAATAACTTGTATGGATATATATAAATAGTACGTGTCAGGAATCGAAAGTAGAAATTTTACGGACAGAAGAGGAAAATGGAGAGAAGAGTAAAGAAAACAGAAAGCAATCGAAATAACAACAGGAATTAAAGAACGATTGAGTTTATAATGGACAACTCAAGGAAGATAAGTAAATAGTATATTTAATGTATTGTTTTCATATTGTACAAATATAGTGTGTACTTTTGTGTAATACAATAAATTGGTTTACTATCCAAAACTTTGGTCATTACAATACAATTAATAAAGTGTTGACAAATGTAATTTCGTACAAACACAAGTACACACTCATTTTTATACCAAGTCTAATGGTTCAACTAATGAGAGAATGTAGTATTCAGGAAATTAAGAAAGTAGGATTGACGATGTAAGAGACTTTAAAAAAAATCAATTGAGTAACATGACTTTTATTAGCAAATTTTATGATTATGTACAGGGTTGGATGGAGAATGCTGGTGAGCGGCCTATGCTCCTTCACGAGGAGTAACAGGCGTAAGTAAGTAAGTAATGATTATGTATTATGCTACGGATTTAATGCTTAGTATGAGGAGAAACATTACTAATCGGTTGACAAATAGGAAGTTTGAAGGAGACAAGCTTGGAAAATGAATCTTAATAATTTGAGATCTTTAATCATCAAACTATCAATAGATACAGTGATAAAAACAATAGTAAGATAAAATCTAATTAGTTGACTTGAAGTTTAAACATTTGTATTTCAAGAAAGAGATTAATCTTTTATATAAACGATTAAACAAGTGAAGTTCCACTCCTATTTTTCTATACCAAAAAAGAGTATCGACAGAAAAATAGTATGTATTCGATAGTTTCTAATGTAGTCAGTCAGTAACAACGTAGAATTCTAATGTAGTAATAATATCTCTATTGGTTATAATATATTTCTAAAAGTTAAGTTATCTGGTTCTTGAGATTACAAACTAACTTTAGTTGTCAGAAAAAAGAATTGTTCAGTAAAATGATAAGTTCCCCAGTTAAACATAAACAACACACAATCGACCTTATATCAAAAAAGAAAAAAAATGTTAGAAGATTAACATGAGAGGGGCTTATATATACGTATATTGCATTACTCTTTGTATTTTTAACTTGTCATTTGACAAAACAATATTGTACTCAAGTTAAATCTAAAGAGAACAACGCATTACAACTATTTAAAAAGTCAATATGTATATATATACCCCCTGTACCCGTTGTTTTATAAATCAACAAGTAATGAAAAACCAACGGAAATGTACACAAATGACTAGAATGATCATATATTAATGATTATTATCAAGAAATCTGGAGAGAGAGAGAGAGAGAGAAAAAAAGAAATCAATAGGACATAATGTAATGGATAACAAAAGTTAAATTCACACTTTCAATTATAACAACTATTTACCAATACACTGTTTAGTTTGAACTTCAATGAGAGATGTGTGAGCATGTGTCCTTATTTAATATAAAAAGTTATTTAAGGAACAGTTTTCTTTTCTTGTCATGTAAACGTTATTAATAACAAGTTTAGACTAGTTGGATAATAATAATGAGAAGAAGAACAGTAATAATAGTGGATTGTAGATGTCATCTAGCGAAATAAGTAACCATAGTAATAGAAAATAAAGCCATTCATAAATTAGAGAGTTTGATCAACGCAGCACCCGAGGGAGGGATATATACCGGTGCAAATCCCTACAATTCATATGAATAGACAGAGTGAGAGAAGGAATCGGTGAAATGAGAAGCAAAGAAGAATAAATAATGATGGAAATCTGAACACGATAGCTAAATTTGGGGAAGGAACAAATGAAACTGAAGAGTAAAAAGTTAAGAACAATACTAAATGTAGGCTATGGAAGATTATAACGAATGTGAATACAATTGCGCTTTATCAATTAACGCTTAAAACTGCAGATTACAATTATTAGGGCAAGTCCTAACAAGGAGGTTTGGACCTCTCAACATGGCTCACACTAACATTCAAGAAATCAATTCCGTAGCTTGATCTAATTTCCCCTAGTCATTTTTCAACCAAGGTTGGTTGGAAGGAGGTTGATCAAAAATGATCTAAGACATTCACTTTGAACACTGGATAGTGTGATCGAAAAAATTCATTGTTCAACTGGCAACTAACACATAATAATAATAATAATAATAATAATAATAATAATAATAATAATAATAATAATAATAATAATAATAACAATAATAATAGTAATAATAATAATAATAATGATAATAATAATAATAATGATAATAAATTCCTTGAAGTCATGAGTCGATGTCAGTTAGACCACTATCGAACACCTAGAAGGACTGAACGATTGTCTTGTCCTAGTATGGGACTCCTCAACAGTTCTCATCTAAGATCCCAGAAGTGAAAATCGTACACAGGAATTTCGGTTTCCAGTGCGACCGTTCAACCTTTGGGCCACTGAGCTGGCATTCAACGTTGTGAATGTCTGACTGCAATCAATCCACGATATAGCGCGACCACATTGTATTGTCTTCGGTGACTGACTGTTTCACCTCTGACACGGTTGAACTTAATTGGTAACAACTCACTGGAACTCCGAGAATTATCCCTCCAAGCCAGTCACTAGTGAACGCATGATAATTATCGGTATAGGGTTGTGAAGATTGTTGAATTCTTACTGAGATCATGAACCGATCAATGTTAGACCACCATTTAAAATCTGGAAACACTGGATGAGAATTTCATCATAGTATGAGAATCCTTAGAAGTGAGCATCTACGACCCCGCACAGTTTCAGGTTTTCAATGATGACTTAACACTGATCTCAATAAAAGCTCAACAATCTCCACAACCCTACACTGATAATAATTATTATTATTCACACTAGTTTACACTACCGACATCAATAAAAACAAAAAATAACAATCAATCACCTCTGGAAAATCACGTAAAACTTCTGACATTTCATTGCCACGTTCACCACAACCAACATAAACAATAATATCCGAATTAGAGTATTTTGATAGTGATTGAGAAATAACAGTTTTACCACAACCAAATGCTCCAGGAATTGCAGTAGTTCCACCTTGAACGCATCTAAAATTTGAAAACAGAAGAATCTCTCCATCATGTATTGAATGAATCATCTAATAAACTAAACCAAACTTTTCTTCCTGAAGAATACTAGCAATAATACAAATTTAAAAATTCCTACTTTATCGACGTTTTACAATTTGAAGTATGAAATTGGCAAGTTTTAGACAGTCTATAAATGTAGAAGTTCGATAGAAACGTATTATACATTGAATCCATAAACAATGGGCCCTTTGGAATTTATCTCAAATATTATTCGGTTTGTCCTACTGAGTTATTGATACGATAGTATGCGCAATTCCTATAAATAAAACATTTCAAAAGCCAGCATATAACCAATTAACAGCTTCAAGCATAGGATCTCGAGCTGTATCATTTGAAACAAGTAGCAGTGCCATCAATGCAATCATTCATTAGTATCTTTCAAATGTATTTCTTGACATTTTGTTTTAACGGAACGAATATTGTAGAAGTGGTTCTGTGAATTGTTATTGCTCATACTTTCGCTGTATAATTACTGATTGACCAGACTATTATGTACATATATTCCGTTTATCATAGACTTTCAGTTCATACACTAACTAGTGTACACGACTTACTATTCCTAATTTGTTACCATTCTATTACTTACAATCTCCCCTATTCGAAGCCATTTTCGGCTTGTTCATTCATAATTGTGATTTTTTGTTTTATGTTATGATGCAGTTCAATATGTCCGTACATAAACCATGTCTACTTGAAGCACAAATATAATGGAATCTGGTCGCTGATTTTGGAACCAAGTCAGTGCATAGAGAGGAACTTGCAAATAACGGACCAGTAGGAACCTAACTGTTTCGGCTTAAGGTCCATAATACTGATCGAGTGTGTAATTAGTCAATTTGAGGACACTAGGCTATCAAGGTAATAGTAGACGTGAATATACCAAATCAGAATAAGGATTCGGACTGGTGACTTATACGTGACATTGGTCAGCAGTCTTAATACATAACAATTTCGCTAGTGTTATGTATGACAACTAGGACTGATGACCAATCTATGCCATATAGTAACATTATAACTGACTAAGTGAAAAAGACTGAGGATGGGAGTAGAGATTATTAAAGGTACAATTGAATAGTAAAAAGTAGTCACCTAAATGCATGAAATATTATTATTATCATCAGCTTTATTCAATATTATATTTTTGGTACAATATAGAATTCTCAGCGTAAAGTATTTCAACAAGTTTCCGTTTCTTTCTTCTTGGTCGGTCCTGGCGATAAATATTGAGTGATCTCCAGTTGGATGTTAGCAGTTCAGTAAATGAACATCTGAATAATGTGCGTTCTTTTCGCTGTATATTGCCAGCAACCACATTGTCTCTTATTGAGTTTTTTGTAACTTTGACAACGAAAGGTTGTACACTTTTCAGAAACGCAGCAGAATAGGTTATGCGATTAATAGGCATAATGATATATTAACACAAACAAAAATAGATAACTTGTTGAAATATCTAGATGGCAGGAACAGGTAGCCCAGATGCTCAAGCAGGCCGCTCTTTACCTGTAGTCTGATATTAATTTCATGCATTTTATCTTATACATATATTTTTACTCACACAATATCGTCTGACTTTGACATGGAACGGAAGAAATTGGTCTTATCAAAAATATTGACAAAGCACAACCGTATAATCTGATTAAAAAGTTCTAAATACGTTAGAATAGTGAGCTCAGGTCATAGGTCTAGCAAAAGATTAACCGAACTGTTTAAGAAATCATGTAAATCATTCATTTAGTCAGTTAGGACCTAGTAATTTACAGCGTTTATCAGTAAAGTGTTTTTTTTCTTTTTACAAATAATTCGCTTATTGACCAAACGAAGTATTTTGTAAGTAAACGTACGATAAAAAATTATAATATTTACCTCCTGAATATTATGTTACATCTAGAGAATTAAGTACCAACAAATAAATTGATCATCTGACTTGGATGAGTGATTACAGTTGTAATGTAGTCAGATGTAATAACATCAATAGCTAAATGCATATTTAAACATTAGACTAAGAAGCACATAGATTTATTCCCCAGTTTACGTATAATACTGACTGCTTACGAAGATGACGACAAATTAAATGCAATGCTATTCAACGGAAGTAAAGTGGTTGCCTTGATAAACCACAGAGTAATAAACCTTAAATCATTTCTCATTGAATTTAGTTTGGTAAACGGATTAGCCACCATACCACTCATGTATATGAAGATAATAAGCAGTCGTATTTATAACTCAGTTATATATAGCTTACTTAAAGTCTATAAATACTATTTTGGTAAGGTACCCTATAATATGTTTTGTCGTTAGATGAACCACGCCAGATGATAGTATTAAATTTGAACTTTAGCCGTCGTTAAAGCAGACAATTACCGGTCATACAGTCGTAAATTTAAATTGAATTGTGCTGATTTCATTTTATCAGTAAAGTTGTATCAGCAACTCTAAATTCAAAAAATACTGACGTTTATACTTACGGAAATAAAGCATCCAAAATTCGTTGGCCAGTTAGAAGTGGATGATTACCAGGTAGTTTTTCAGCTACTGGACGAGGTTGACGTACTGGCCATACTTGTAACATAGTATGCTGGCTGATTTGCCCATCGAATTCTATTTCCAATATTTTATCCTGTGTATGTATGAAAAGATAAAATACATGAAATTAATATCAAACTACAAGTAAATAGTCGTAAAAAAAAATAAATATACACTGAATAATTGAAGGTAATACACAGTAAGCTTCGCCTTAAATCCAAGTTTCGAGCTTGTGGAGACAAAGGGGCATGAGAATAATACATCGTTTATGTAAGTGACGATTGTTATGTTATTCAACTGAACGATTCCATGGCAACGACCAGCAACCACATCCGCACAACCTTGTAATTATTCTGTAGCTTTGACCCTTCAACGGTCGAAAAATTTAATAATATATGGTGCTACTACTGATGATCACACAATAAGGAATGTGTAGGTGTTTAGAGAGAAATCAGGCGTGACCTGTATTAAGATTGCAATTACAAGGAGGAAATACAACGTGAAGTGTAGAAACCTCTGGAGACAATCTCCTTACAAAAACGCGGTTTCAGGCAACTAGTACAAGATTACTGATTCCCTGAGCACAGGGAACAAAACTCCATCAAAATCATCCATCTCAGCTACAAATCTTCTCCACCATCTCAAAACTTTTGACCAAAAACTTGAATTTTAACTGAACAGATTCAAAGTAGGCAACTTTAATAAACTTCATTCTCTGACATCCCCGTAGATCAAAGTGACTCGTTCGTTTTTAAGAAAACGTAGGTTGATCAAGCAAAAATAATTGATATTCACAAATTTTTACAACTTACCGATAATGTGTAATGTCCAGTCGGAGCAATCCATTTCACTGTACCTTGGGCTTTAGGTGAAAGCATGATTCGATGTTGAACTAAAGTATTTTCAGGCACAATACCATAAATATCTCCACCAGTTATATGCATTCCAGGCTTTAAGCCTGGTGTTGGAATAAATTCCCATTCAACTTTACGATCTAATGCAGGAACATTTACACCCCTTGGAATATATATCGAACTAGTTAGATCACAAATGCCTTTTAAAGGGCGTTGAATACCTAAAACAAGTCAAATCGATAAAGTCAACTATCGTTTTAAAAGGAACGACAGTAAATAAACAGTAAATAAGTTAAGCTTGAAAGACATGTCATAAATGTCACGAAAAAAGACTTGTATGCAGATATGGGTGCTATTTTGTGAATGTAAAAAAAAACACTTTACAAATATCTTACGATAAAGATGTATAATATTACACCTGTTTTTACGACCGGTTTAACACTAACCTTAACATGAGTAACACGGAAATATGCAAAGTGGTTTACAAATTAATAACACTAGTATGAGATATCTTGAATAATCTGGTTATATTGTATTGAAAATGTATACAACAGCTGAGGATAAATTATAAATAAACATACCTCCTAATATATCTCAAAATATCTTAGCATTATTATCTTTGTTCGGATTACGAGAACAAAGTGACTGAACAAGCTCAGACATAAGTAAGCTCCAATAAACTTAATTTTTAGTCCATAAAAGTTTAGTTCATTGAATTAATCATACGATCAAGAGTTAGGACAGAACTTTACGCAGCATGATCTAACCAATTTCGTGGAAATCATATGGAAAGCATAATATTCATGATTTAGTGTACAGACTTTATCTTAATTACTGAGTTATTTTATAATGGGAAAATATATGGATGAAACTATAGAGAAAACTGTAATATGTATGTTAAACAGCTGTGTATGACAAACTGACTGATGGAAAACAGTGTAACTCTGCTGTTTAGCCAAATTAGGAAAAGCACACAATACATACCCAGCTGCATACGATCAGGTATTAAAGCTCAACACTCATTATTCCCTTTGCAAAGGCAATGTAAGTTTCCGTTCATCTACTCATTTAAAGCTAGGAAATCATCTGTACAAGGTTCAAACGTGAGAACTAGAAGTACTGATCGATCATTTAAACCAAATTCAACTGAGTTGAAGGTTTTAGGAACTGTGATTAAATGGTTGAAATTCGATTGTTTGAGACTATTTCATTAGTACTTATTCTATTTAAAAGTGGTGAACGGTACTTTTCGATTTCGCCTCATGTAGGTAACACGATAAAATGATAAAATTTGGGAGGAAATTACTAATAAATTAGTAATAGTTTGTGAAATTCTGAATAATACCAATCAGTAAGTTGTCTGCACGTAGGCTATGTGTTATCTTTGGCATGTGATAAATACAGTGTCACAAAGTCATCCTGTCTATAACTTGTTCTTGGAACGACATGGTGCTCACAGAAATAAAATGTAGAAGACAAACAATAGTAACCATTAGTTGTGTTACGCAAACAATTATGAGCAAGGTGATAATTCATCATTAAAGAAAACATAAATTTAAAAAACAAAGATAAACATACCATCGAAAATATTGTTGACGATCCCAGGTCCAAGTTCAACTGATAAGGGTTTACCAGTTCTAAGGACAGGATCACCTACAGTTACACCAGCTATAAGACGATAAATTGTTAAGGGAAAGAGGACAGCAAATAGGTTGTTTAACACAATTTACGAACAGTGATAACCTAAAAATCGGCTCAATATGTAGTGGGAGTCCGAAACATGTTTTGTCAAATATTGCATCCTAAAAAAGTATAACGAATGCAGTCAAATCTTTTTCAATAAGCACAAATGAACAAAAGGTCAAACTTTCTTTATCTAGTGATTCAACAAGATGGATTTCATTGAACAAATTGAAATTATTAATCAAGAACTTAAAAACTATCCCGTTTGTTTATTTAGTGTTCAAGCAAGAAATAAAACAGATGTTTGATACTCCTTAACTTTTCGTCTTTTAAAATGACATCAACTCATTAAACCTGGTTGGTTTTCATGAAATAATTTATGACAAAAACACTTCTTGGGAGTGCGCAGTTTAAGCTTTGCACAATGTGTGAATGATTAGGTATCAGGACAGGATACTCTTATTTCAAAAATTTACCGAAAGAAAAGCCGTAATATGAAATTTGCTTTAAAAGGATACATGTTTCTTCATACACCTGAATAGTGGCCAGATCACCTTCCAAACGGATAATTTCTCCAACCAATTCATCATGTCCAACACGAACTAACTCGTACATAGCAGAACCAGCCATGGATGATGCGGTGACAACTGTGAAAAATAAAATACACATGGTGAGTATAAAGGTATCAAACGATAAACAAACACGTTTATTTATTTATTTATTTAAACACATAAACATTGGTTCAAGAAGGCACCAAATAGATATGCGCCACATTAATTATTCGCTTTGTGTGAGGGTTGGAATACTGCCCGCAAACACCCAAACCAAGGCAGGTGGTTTTTTGGGGAGCCACAACTGAAGCCTTTGACCTAAGGGTCTGATCCACAAGGCAGTGGAGCAACGTCAGGAGATGCGGTCCTATGGTAGCCGGTGGCCAAACAAATGTGACAGAAACATCGTAAAATATAGTTAACAAAACATTGACGCTTTGCCTGGTGTATTATGCAGTTGGAGACTTTGAAATTAATGAACGGAAAGTTTTAAAATCAATCAAATTTGAATATATAAGTGCATGTGTGATCTATATTTATATACTGAAAACATTATTTACAAATTTAGTTATTGTTTATTTACCTTTATCCTTGTTTCCGCCTACTTAAACCAATTTCTATTATAATGACTTTTACTTTTATGTTTTCGAAGTGTTCATAACTAAAGAGATATGTTTTCGTGTAAAATTTTAATGTCAATACGTCTGTATAGTTGTATTCCCGTGTTGAAAGTATGTTTAGACAAGAGCTTGTGATGACTACACAGAACCAACCAACTATTACTTTAAAACTTGTAAGTAACAGTATGATCATATCATTAAGTTCCTGAAAATATTCAGAGAGATAGGCTCCACATAGACTCAGTGAAGAGCCCAAACTTATGTTTAGCAAAACCATTCAAATAACTGGTTTGATTATTACGACCAGTACTCAAAGGTATGAAAGTCGAACGGAAAAAATCAAGATTGTGTGAAACAAATTTTGATTACAATAAGTATTTTAGTGAAAAATTGAATTCTATACTTATCTAAGCTTTATAACTAGTGCTACTCGGGGACTAAGAATGGTTAAATTTTGAGGCACATCCATTGACGAAGATATCTCTTAGTTATCTAGAGGTCATTAATTGCAAGTCCATGAGCTGTCAGATTTCCATCAGCTACAGAGACTACAGTTTACAAAGAAATGCAGTAGGAACCGAAAGGATAAGCGGTGTTAACGAATTATGAAAACTATAATACGTACCAGGACCTGATACAGCGTAAACATATCCATATTGACTTTCACGACTGCCATTTTCTAACCTGAGCTCCCGCAACGACTGTTCCATATCACCTGGAAACAAAATTGTAAACATACAGAAAACAATAATATTCAGTAAACAAAGATTTTGAAAGAAACATTTAAGGGTAGATTAGCGAACTAAGCTACAATTAAATACAACGGGACAAAAATACTAATTAGGGCAAAACCACATAGTTAAGCTAAACTCCTGTCGTCAACATGATAATTCTACAAGTCAACTACGAAATCGCCAAAGTAATGTGCCACATGATATACGTAAATTAAAATGTAACCAGGGTACTGCACATGACCATATGGCTGTTAATAATTAAATGAATGGAAAATGTATGGGGTAAATACAGTACCGAAAGTACGGCTAAGCAGTTTGAACTACACATAACAGATATTCGGTCTGAACAAGAATAAACACAGAAAGTGGTTAGAGTTGGAAAATAGATGGGGACTTCAAAAGGCAACATTACAAAAATGTTGAATGTACGACACTGTAATCTCGACTTAATAAAAGTCTGTCCACTAATGCCTTAAGATGGACGAACAAAAAATGTCTGATTTGCATGCAATGCATTTAAATAACATCGATTCATGACTATCAATATTATGAAAGCACATGACCATTTACTACAACGCTACATCTACTGAAAAGAACAATTCACATATTGATTCTGAAAAATATACTTTATCTTGTCCAGATGCTAGTGCTAGTGAACACGGAAGCCTGAATAGGTACTTCAAGTTATATAAGTGTATTACATAAGCAGGAAAGAATAAATCTAGTAAAAACCTCTTGCGACCAAGCACTACTAACACTTTATGTTCAAACAGTCGAAAACCGATAACTGCAAAAAACCGGAACTTCAGCTTGAATCCGTTATGAATTAATCAAATTTCTTTTGTATTAATCACTTAATACAAAAACTTGTCTTAGACTATGTATACGTAGTCTCGACTATAGATTCGTCTATAGACGAAAAATATCACTCATTTACCGTTAGAAATTAATAAAATGAAAAGTTAACACTGTAAAACACTATAAATAACTGATCTATACAAGAATTTCGGTTAAGTGTTCGTTTGCCCTGACGATACCAGTAACTTATGTATACCATTTGCTCACTTTAAAATGACTCACAAAACTACTTTTGATAGTCGCGGACTGTGTCGACCACCAAAATTTACCATACATAAAGTCCAATATGTTCAAGCTCTTAATAATCAGTTAACTAGAGATAAGAGTTATATGAATACATCTATAGTAACAGCAAATATACATATCTGGATTATTGTTTGCAATAAGTCGTTTAATTTCATCTATCCAATGTAAAATGCTATTTAAAAGGGACAGTGGTATTTTTCCTCGCTGAGTAAATTTCTTTGTTTTGATCGTTTATTACGTATCAAGACTACTGTTTTCACTTTAATTGAATTTATTTCAGTTAAAGTATTCGACTAGAGTATCGTTTTTACTGTTCTCTCAATTTTTTGTCGTTGGTACTCTTGAGTACCTCTTTTTCAACTGTATCTGTTAGTACTTTTGGTCCTAGCAATCTACAGCTCTTCACTTTTTTGGTCATTGATTATTTTTTTTGTTTCTGAGTATCATCGCATTTGAAAAAGAACCCCTCCTAAATGACCGGACAGTGTAAAAAAAGCAGTTGCCAACGTCCGGGTTGTCGTTATCCTGTTGAAAGCGGCATGCAGTGCGACGAGTGCAAAGGCTGGTACCACGAAGTTTGCACGAACTTAACGCCTGCTGCTTTCAAACGGTTCAGTAAGAAGGGTTGTGTGTGGCTTTGTCAACAGTGCTGCTCGGATGCAAACAGCTTGTTAACCGAGGCCATCTCACTGGTTGATGCTGCAAAGAAGTGTTTTAGCAAGCATAGTCGGAACGCGTCAAACAGCACTCGATCTGTTGACACGCAAATCAACGTGAAGGAAACTAAGGTTAGTCCGATGATAGATGACTCACGCCCGTCAAAGAAGGAAAAGCAGTCTCCAAAGGGGCCTGCCTTAAACAAAAGCTCAAGAAAAGTAGGGTCTTCTGTTCCCCGTCTCCCAGATGGGATCCAACAGGAAACACCTAGAAGCCGCAATCGCAAGGCTCGATCGGTTTCAAGCGGTAAACATAACCCGACCTCTCAGGTCGTCGACAACCCCCCAAAACCCAACACTAGGTTTGACGCAACTGTTATTGCTTCTACCAGCACCGTTGACGAATGGGTAAGGTTGTAAGGAAGAAAAGTAGGGATATAAAAGGGAAACCTGCCCCCGTAAAAGTAGTTGAAAAATCGAAAGCTGATCATAGCGACAGATCAGCTATTTTTCATAGAATCAAGGAGAGCGATAGCTCTGAACCTAAAGCTCGTTTTGAGCATGACATTGTACTGATTAGGCAGCTGCTTAATCAACTCATGCCTCAAAATATGACCGGGGTCACCTTGCTAAAGGTGTACAGACTAGGGAGTCTAGCGGACTCGAAACCAAATCATTCCAGACTGCTTAAAGTAGTATTCGGCTCTTCGAACGAACGTGACCTAATTTTACAAAATGGACACAAATTAAAGGGTTCAGGAGTCTTTATCCGAAAGGACCTACCGTTGGCAGACCGTGTTAAAAGACGGGAAGCCGAGAAAGAACTACAACTTAGGTTAGACGCTGGCGAAAAGGACCTGAAAATTGTAAATTTTCGGGTTGTAAGACTTCGACAGAGAATGATGCCGAAGCCACTCTGGGTGAAGCACGAAGGCACTTAAACAGGCTTCGGATCTGTTACACCAATGCACGAAGCTTACTTAATAAGCGATCGGAACTAGGTGTACAGATTGACTCTACAAAGCCAGATATAATCGCAGTAACAGAAACCTGGCTGACACAGGCTATAGATAGTATGGAACTTGATTTCGAGGGCTTTACGTTAGTAAGGGCCGACAGAACACAAAAGCGCAAAGGAGGGGGAGTAGCTCTATTCATTAGGAATGCTATCCCATTTGCCATTATCGATAGTGTATCCCATGAGAGTGGGACGTGTGAATTAGTTAGTCTTCGCTTAAAATGCAAGGGACAAGAGCTGCTGATTGGTTTGGTCTATCGCAGTCCAAGCTGTGAGGCAAATGAGATCCTGTTAAGCAGTCTCAATACTTGGTCCCAAAGTGGTCGATGTCTAATCCTAGGGGACTTCAATGCACCTATGGTAGACTGGGAAAATCTGCGAACTAAATCGTCGGAGAATTCTTTCGAGCAGGAACTAGTTGATGGGGTTATCACATGTGCTCTAGTGCAACATGTGAAAGAAGCGACAAGGTACGATCCGGACACTGAATCATCCTTATTAGATCTTATACTGACTCACTATGAGGATGATGTTGCGAACCTCCATCATATGCCACCCCTAGGTAAAAGTGACCACGCAGTTTTAACTTTCGACTTCCATATAACTGCCAGTCATGAGCACGCGTCAGTCCAGTCCAGACCCAACGTCTGGAAAGCAAACATACCAGACATCATGCACTCAGCATCGTTAATAGATTGGACAATAGACCCAGAGTCCTCCATTGAAACGGCCTGGGACGCATTTCGAAATTCATACTTAAAAGTTACCACACCTCACATCCCTTGGACTATACCAAAGGGGCCGAAAAACTCACCACCATGGCTCAGTAGGGAGGTCCGTATCCTTCTCCGTAAGAAAAGGAAAATGTGGGATAGATTTAGGTTACTGGGGACTGATGAGTTAAGGACTCCGTAGAATGTCCTAAACGCTTGTATCCTTATATAAACCAAAGGACAAAGAGAAGAGGAAATATTCCTGCTCTATGGGGAGACAGTACTGCTTCATCATTAGTGGAAGACGACTTTGGTAAGGCTCAAGTGTTCTCGAACTACTTTAGCAACGTGTATACCATAGAAGCACCCTTCCCGTCAGCGTATACAGATCCCCCATACATACACTGGATAGCGTGACCATTAAAGAACTCGATGTCTTTGGTCTGCTAAATAAGCTTGACATAGGTAAATCCACGGGGCCCGATGAATTACATCCTAGGCTACTGAAGGAATTATCTAACTTCGTTGCAAGCCCTTTAAGTACATGCTTTAACCTATCCGTTACGCAGGGTCGCTTACCGAAAGACTGGAAAAACGCCATAGTAAGTCCTGTCTTCAAAACAGGTACGAAACACAAACCTGAGAACTACCGCCCCGTTAGCCTAACTAGTGTGGTTGTTAAAATCTTAGAAAAGATTATTCGGAAGGAGCTGTTTAAGTATCTCGATAAAAACCGGATCCTCTCGGAGAAGCAGCACGGCTTCAGAATAGGTTATTCTTGTCTCACTAACTTATTAGTGGCTCGTGAAAGCTGGTGCGCTCTTAAGGACCAAAAGCTACCTGTAGACGTCGCCTTCATTGATTTCAGTAAAGCTTTTGACAAAGTTCCGCACAACCGGCTGTTATATAAGTTAAGAAATGTCGGGATTGGAGGCAATTTATTGATGTGGATAAAAGACTTCTTAGTTGGGCGTCAACAAAGAGTAAGGGTGAACTCAAAGTTATCTAGCTGGGAAACTGTGCTTAGTGGAGTGCCCCAGGGTACAGTTTTGGGGCCAGTGCTATTCCTCTTGTATGTAAATGACCTTCCTTGTCTCCTATCATCATCGGTCTTGCTATATGCTGACGATGTCAAGATATGGAAACGATACGATGTAAGAGTGATAGCTTAGAACTTCAAAATGACCTGAAGAAATTATCTGAATGGTCTCAAACATGGCAGTTGCCGATAAATACTTCCAAGTGTGTTGTGATGCATATCGGTCATCAAGGCACAGATACATACACGATGAATAACACTGAGCTACCTGTCGTCCAGACATATAATGACTTAGGAGTTATCGTTAGTCAAGACTTAAAGACTACTGCACACTGCCGTGCAATAGCCGCCAAAGGTTTTAGAACGTTATGGTCAATACGTAGGGCTTTTAGTCATGTCGACGCAAAAACGTTTTTGACTTTGTATACAGTGTTCGTTCGTCCTAAACTTGAGTACTGCATACAAGCGGCTAGCCCCTGCTTAAAAAAGACAGTGAGCTTCTGGAAAAGGTTCAGAGAACGGCGACTAAGCTGGTTCCCGGAATAGCGAAGCTTCCGTATGAATCTCGACTGGCCAAGCTGAACCTTTTCCCGTTGTCATATCGCAGAACTAGAGGCGACTTGATTACAGTCTTCAAATTGCTTAGTGATAAATTTGCACCTAATATGCCCTCATTTTTCTTGTCTTCCAAAACAGAGAATTTACGAGGACACTCCAAAAAAGTTCATAAGCCGAGAACAAATTACTTGTCAGCTGACTATCGACTTTCCCATCGAATCATCAACGAGTGGAATTCACTACCTCAGCACGTGGTTGAGGCTCCATCCGTCGACTCTTTCAAAAGAAAGTTGGATCAACTGAGAGACCACCATTGCCAGGACTAACATAGGCCATCGAGCCTCCTGTCCTTCCCAAACTGAAACTGAAATTACGAAAAACGAAAAATCATTGCATTGTATGACAGTAGAGATTTTATTTGCTGTTTTCAGATTTGAACACTATCCAGTCTTTCGTTCAATTGCTGTCTTTGCGGTAGAAAGCTTAGAGACAGTGTTCCTACTTACAATGTTGGGAGTAAGGATCTAAATCAGACTGTTTCTATCCGTCACAGACTTCTTACTGGTCCCTTATTGACAAGTTTCAAGTCAATTATTGATTCGGACCCACTTTTCTAAGACGAAGGCTGGAGCTTCATGCCTCTGATTATTTTGGCTTAAGATTAAAGTCTGAAAAAGATCAATAGTTATCTAGAACACTGGTTTTAGTTTTGATGTTCGATAATATCTGGGTCTGTCAAGCAACATGAATGTATGGCTTTGTGGTGGGGCTGCACGTGACTTCTCAGTCTTTAGAAACTCTTTTTGAGACAAAAGCTACTCTTAAGGAAAGGTCAGTGATACAGCAAGTGGTTTTTTACGGATTATTTAGAATGGTAAAAGGCAGTGGTCTGTATATGAGGCTGACAGTTGTATTCGTTATCTTCATACTCCATGAACAAGAACAAATGAATTACGTAGGAGCCAGAAAACAAATGTTCCCGAATGTATTTCAGTGGCTGAATTATTTAGCATATGCAGAGGTGATAAACAATCAAAATACAATAAATTAAATAGAGACAATTAG